GGGCCAATCAAATTTTCTTTTTTGTGTGATATGATCGATGAAAATCATTACCAATTATACGAATGTCCACCATGCTGATTATCATCACTATACACAGCCACATAATTTTAAGGGATTTTGGTTGTTTTGATAAGTGTAACAAATATTCATGATTGTGATAACGTAAAGAAATAATAATAAGGTTAATCTTCTTCATAACTCTCTAAACTCTGGTAGATTTGCAGTCATGTACATCCCTACTGGTGTATGGCCACTATGTCCTGCACTAGATGTTTGGTGCTACCCTATAGGAATGTCCTTGAGCATGCGTGTTCATTGCCTCCCCCCTACATGCTAGTATCCAGGATGTATTGTGTATACCTACTGGCATATGGCCATTACGTCCTGCGTCAGATGCTTGGAAGCACCCTATAGGAATGTCCTTGAGCATGCATGTTCATTGCCTCCCCCTACATGCTGTTTCCAGTATACCATGACTTACAATGCTCCTTCTGACATTTTGTTGTGTATATATTTAATTGTGCATTTAAGCTACTTACTACACTTATATTTTACTATAAAGATGTTCAAAACAATTGTAAATGAATATCTTGAAAATACAATATTCAGGGATTGGATGATTATTGCTATTCTAGAATATGTCAAATCAAAATCTCAAATATCCACCAGTGCAATTGAGAGCTTAAAAGCAGAAATATATTCGATTTTACTAAGTTTCAGAGACAGTCACAATATTCACATTCACGAAAATGCAAAAAACAAAGCTGGAAAAATTTTAACAAATTTTGATAAGATATTCTTTTCAGCTGACGTAAAGAATTTTATTGATGAATTAGAATTAAAAGATGAAAGAAGGGAATTCCATCTAGTAGTGCATCAAAATGTCACATCAGCAAACACGTTAGAAGCACTAGAAGTAAGTTTTAATACAAATTTAGGAATATAACATTGCAATAGTCTTAATGAGAATTTCATTAGGAACATTGCTCAACCAGAAAAGAAATTGAAAAGATACATAATACAAATGTTGTTATCTCTGTTGATGATGAATCTGGCCAGGATAATGAAAAAGAAAAGGTGACTCTAGAGGTGTTTGGTTATTTTTATTGTTTTATGTTTAAATAGTTAAATGATGATTGTTTTTATTAATGCTCATTTCAATATCTATTATCATTCAAGAATGTTTGCAAGTGGTCATATGCTGAGACTGATAATTCATATTCCTTTTTTAACAAGCCTTCAGCTTATATATTTTTAATAATGGAGAGGTATTCTAAATAACAAACCACTTCAAAATTTGAGTAAGCCTTTTTTGCAAATCTTAGATCAATTACAGATTAACATTCATTTCATAATTTAAATTTTGTCACTCTTATACAGCTTGGCATATAGCTACATACTGGATCTTACATCTGAGTCACAGATAGAAAAAGAATTTGAGCCAAGATTATGGGCAAAACTCATAGCTGACCGACCTGCCACAGCCAAACCCAAATATCATAAAGAAATCAGGTCCATTTGTGATCATCTATTTGGTCCTCTTTCTAAAAAAGTAAGATATATTTGAAATTCAAGAATTTTGTTACAAATATTTATGTGTTTGTGATATTTATAGAAACAACCGAAACTTCATGAATCTCGTGAGAAATGGGAGAATTTAAGAAATTTAAAGGCACCAGAGTATCATGATGATCTTTCTTACAAAAAGGAAGATTGGAAAAGATTTTGCATTGGGCAGAACGTGCTGTTGGTTCATTGTAAGCCTTTTTTTTATGGGTTTAGATTATGTTGAAACCATTCATTTTAACTATAATTTTTTTAGTCTTGATGCTTTCAAATCAGAGTATAATCCTATACAACAAAATGACTGTGGAGAAAGGGAGTGGTTCGGGGACTACATAATTCCTATATTTAAAGGAGCTCTGAAATTGAACACATCCTGCTGTGTCCCTTGGTAAGTTTTGCATTGATTCACTTTTCTCATTTTTAGATTTAAGTATCTAAGTTTTATGAGCTATTCTTAGGGGGGAGGTTACAGTAATTGCAACTACTTGAAGAAGAAATCAAGACAGGAATTCATTAGAATACCTCCTTGAATGTGGCCACTTAGCAGATTTATTATGCCAAATCAATCAACAAGAAGTTTTTTGTGGGCTTGGTTTTGGTGGTCCTCATAAATATGATCTTACAAAGTGGAATTCTGATCAGTACCAACTTCCAAGGATTAGGGTTTGTATTCATGAATATCATAAGGGGGTCACACAGGGTCACAACTATTAAAATCAAGTGATCAACTCATGTTTTTAAGGGATTTTTTGCTGTTTTAATAGTGTGTAACCCCCTTAATGATATTCATGATATTCATGAATAAAAACCCTACTGAGGATGCTCAAAGACATGTTAGATGACATGTTAAAAAGATTTCAAAGTAGAAATAGACGCACATCAAATCTTTATACCATTGGCATTCAGGTAAGATTGGTCTTGTTAATGATTTTGCATTGAATATTGAATATTGAATTTTGTTTTGGATCAGCAATATATGACTGAAATCCGAGTATATATGATGGAAAAACATGACATATATCAACTTTATCACTTAAAATCATTCAATCTACCCATGTCTTATTCATCTTACAGCAACTTACGTCCTGCTCTCTCTTGTGCATGGGATATTAAGGTAAGTTTTATTTATGACATTATTTAATCATCTCCAGAGGATTACTGTCACATTGACATATATTAATTAGTATTTCTTCTAGTGTCTTGTTGAAAATCTATCACTTGAGTTTCATGATGAAACATTTGTTACTTCTACAACTCCCGAACATGTCCCACCTGATGAAATGAAAACCAACACAACACCAGAGAGCATAGTGGACATTCATCATTACACAACATGTTACACAGTGCCTGTTGTTCCTGAAACTTCACCAGTATATATGTCCATTATGCTACACCAGAGAGATCAAGAAAGAAAAAGTTTGATAAATTTGATAAAGGTCTTTACTACACAAATATTGTACATTTTACGATAATGATATTATGCAATAATTCTGAAAATTTTACTGTTTCATAATATTTAGTAATGAATAGATACCAAAATTCAAGTCCAAATTAACAATGAAAATGCAGGATTATGGGGCTCAGTTTGTTAGTTAACAAAAGAACATTGTCATATAAAATATATTGCATGCATTAATAAACTCAAGAAATCTCAAAAGCTTTGGTTCAGTTTATTTGTTATATCATAGTAATTTAACAATGGAAATATTTTAAAATAGAAGCTGTTAACTTTATGCAGATGTTACTGAATGCAATCCACTATTACAAAAATGAACTTTCAAGATCTAATTCTTTTCGCATAATTCTTTCTTGAATTGATCCTGCTGTTTATTGGGATCTTCGCTACTAAAGAATTCGTGATAGTCTTCATGTTGTAATGAATAGGGATGGGGCAGTTCCACTAGGGAACCAGTTCTGAGTGGATCTGAACTGAACTGAACACAGAACCGTGAACCAGTTCCAGAACCAAGTTCTAACCATTCCCCATGTGATTTATACCTATATGAGGAAATCCTGAGTTAATCTTTCCTTAAAAGGAATGATTAATATGAATGACATGACTTATTAATATTCAAATAAAATAAATTAAATATTATTATTATTATTATTATGTAAATAACAAATAAATGGACAAACAATGAATGAATTATACTTGTCTTCAGAATTCCATAATTACAGCAAATTCAGCATTACATATAAGCCATAAATGATTTTTGGCATGAGACCTCAAAGTCATAAAAGTCGTAAACCGTAAAACCGTGATGCCATAATGCCATAATGCCGTAAATGCCATAAATGCCATAAATCCTAATACCATAGTAGTACTGTAACACCTAATACCAACATATATAGAAAATTTTTCCCATGAATCTTTAATAATATTAAATGTCTTTTTTATCAATTCAATTAAACATAACATAAACATACTAATGTAGTTTTTAAACAAC